CCACCGCATTTAAAGCTTTGGATTATCTATATAGACTTAAAAAACAACAACATAAAACTTTAAAAAAAAATCTGAATGTGTATGTGTGAAAGCGGATGAAGGAATATGGGGGAGATTTAGGCGGAACGTCAATAAATATCAATAAAAATATAATCGCGGGTTATAAATATAGAAGTTGTGGAACTTGATTTTATTGTTATTTGCCTGAAATTTATGTTTGTTTGAACTTTCCCCTATTTCTCTGTGCACTTAGGGCGAAAACGCTGCTACAATCTGCGTCCTAGCAATGCGTCAAATGTAATTCAGAATTGACTAGTTAATTAACAAAGAGGTCCGAGATACTTGTCAACCGCAGAGGTGAGAGGTGGTGCCCGACAAGTTTTCCTCCTTTCTATTTCGCCCATTGATTATTGGCAATTGGATATACCAATCAACGCACGCTATGCACAATCCTAGAACGTACTGCTACTCTCTCTCGCTCTTCTGTACCTCTTTCATTAGAACCTCTCATTCCTCCAGTTTCCATCAGCTCTATATATACCTCGATTGCTTTTCATTATTTCTTGATTGATACAGAAATTTGTGATTTACTATAGTTGATAGAACGCATGTAATGCAATTACGATATAGTTTGATTACGATGTGGTATATCAAACGCAGATTGTCGCATTGCTCTCTTTGTATGTCTCTTTGTACGCACAAAAGGATTTTTCCGAACACGATTTTGGACAATTACAGTTACTCATGGACCAATTAATTATCAGAACCTAATTATATATTGAACATCTACCATCAAATAATTGAGTTAATATCAAGTTATTACTAAATACATTATCATATTGTTATATAATTATTACAATAAATATTAATAATGAAAATATAATATTATTCGAAGCACAAATCGTCTCATCTTTTTTTTTTCAAAAATTTAGAAAAATGTGTTTTAAAGTGAATTTACTACAAACACTTTTTAATAATTATGGCAATGTGTTATATACAGTTTTTATGTCACACTTTTATTTATGTAATTATTCGTGTTATTAAAGTTATGCAGAAAGAACAATAATTGAAGCTAGTAATGAATTAAACTGACCCAATATTATACAATAGACTAACATAGATTTATATGTTACTAAATCACATTTTATGTGATGTAATTATGTTTTATTGTTTAATTAATAAAATTTTTAAATTAAAAATAAATATGTTTGGCGAAATGTCAATTACAATCATTATTATTTGTTAAATTTACAATTCATCTGTTTGTTATATTTTAGAAACTATATTATTATTAAAAAATATTGTTTGCAAACAAAATTGACGTTAATTATATTAAAAACGCTATACACGAATTACGTTTATATAATTGTTTTTTTTTCGAAAATTACACTTTAAACCTTATTTATTTTAAACGGTTTCTCTTGTTGGTGAACATCAACTATGATCATGAAAAACAGAAAAAAAAGCGTGACCCTGTTGCAATGTGAAGGAATTTTAATGCAGTGAAATTTAAGAAACTTGATTGCGTTTTAATGTTTGTTGCTATTAACTGGACATTAAACGATACCTGAGTTGTTTATTTACGCTATGATCTTGTTAAAAGCTTTCAACTCTCGACGCTTTTTTTGTGACTCTACCTTCAATGTGCTACATTAATTATCAATAATTAATAAACTGATTCCCATTTCAAAATACGTTCAGTATCGATTTATATAAAATTGAAAAATTTCAGACCTTTGGTTACAATTGTGATATATTCCTGTTATATGGAATTTCCATAAATTAATTTTAATTAATTTTAAATAATTAATACCAATTTACAGTTGTAATTAAAATCAACATTGAAATAATTATTTCAATGATCATTATAATTATTAATTGTTTATTATTAAATTTAATTAAATATTCTACTAATTATGTTCAATGAAATTACAAATAATCTATATACAATAAGCAGTAAAATATTCATTAAGTATCAATAATTAATAAGACAAAACAGATTGTAAATTATATTTTTTTTTGTTATAAAAATAAATTTTATTTATAAAATTACTTGTTTAAATAAACCAATTGATTGTACATTTACAAACAAAATCCAAAGTACGTATAAAAGAAATTTTAGAAAAATAATCAGACAACTGTAATTCGTGACGATTTGTAGCTGAAGATCTTAAATAGATGAGGTTTAAAGTTTCTCTCGTGTTGCTCCATGCAACTTACTACATACATAAACCGTCTGCCTTTTACATTTGTATTTATATTACTTTCATCTTTCTAATAATATATTTTGCTGTATTTATTATCTTGTCATTCTTTAATGCATTCTGTATCTTCTAGTTATAATAAATTATTTAGTTATTTATATTATATTATTTTTAGTACACAATTATAAATAAATTATGTTATTACAGTTCTATTTGGATGAATATTGAAGTCACTTTTCAGTAATAATTTATTTTTAACTATTTTATTTAGATATCCGATGAAGACATATTCTCATATTTTGTGCTTTTCAAATCCACCCAAGGAATATAGGAAATTCTCTTATAACGCGGTACTCTTATAATGCAATTTTTATATAACACGTATAACACGGTTCTTTTATATAATACAACTTAATTGTCTTTAGAACTACTTCAATAATAGACGTTAGAATCTAGAGTTTATATGAGTTATTAATTGATGCATATACACCTCAAATACATTGGTTGATGCGAAAAGAGGACTTGACTTATGAATATAATTAGAATTAGGTTTCTATATAAACTAATCTGATTTGTATTAATTCTGTGTTTATTTTAACTCAGTTTTCATATAACGTTGTTCACATCTGATTTGTGCCAATTTTGACTATTGTGCGGTTTTCCTATTGAGCAATTAATCATTTTTTTGTGCTTTTTGATTCCACAAGAAAAAAAACAGCGACTAAATTAAAAATAAAACAGCATCCGGAAAAAGATTCGGTATGAAAGAGTAATAATTCATGAGCGATACTTAGCACCTCGAATAACAAAATTTTTGAGTGATAAATCAAAGAGAGTAAATAATTTAAAAAAAAATGAAAAATTCAGTTTAAAACATTTAACCCATTTATTTATTTGCCCAACTAAATTTATTGCTATTTATTTTCGACGGGATGGATTAATTCGCTAAGTTTTCCCTTTTGTTCGCGACCGGATTTATTATAATAATAATAAAGTTTTTCGGGAATTTATTGCGGTTCGGTTGTCTTCCTCGTCTTGGCACGCAGTTATTTTTTCTTATTATATATATTATTTCTTTGGTTTGTTTGTTTCTTTTTACACTTGTGTTTCAACTGTAATGAAGAGCGTGTTCTTCTCGGGTGTCAAGGATTCATTCCTCGGGAGAAGGCGACACTCGGAAAGCTAATGATGGCGAACTTCCGTCGGAGCGCCACACGAAATTATAATTTGTCTTAATTTAGTAACAGCATTCCAAAAATAGCGGATGGAAGTGGATTCGAGCAATCCGTTCTTTCCAATGAGTAATTGTCGAGTCCAATTTTCATCCATGATCAAAACATATTAAAGCAATCACGTACTATGATTGCGCATTGCAATTTCCTAATTATTTATGCACGTGTATCAAGGAGAAATGTAACAATTTACTATCGTCCTAATGATATATTATCATTGCCACCAATTGCAGATTTGTTCATACTTTATTTATATTTATTTTCATTTACATATTCCCCAATTTTAAATTATTTAAGAAAATAATATACAGCAATACCTCGCATAGTGCGGATTCACTATAATACGGTTTAAAAATGTTTTCAAAATTTTAGCAATAAAAATCAATTTAAAAAAAATAATTCTGACAATTATTTTGTTTACATAAATGATCATTTTTTCCTTTATACAGATAAGTCTCTTTTTGTCCAATTTTTATGCGAGATATTAGTAGCATTTTCAAGAAATTTTAAATTTTACTAATCAATATTATATATTAGACAGATTTAGATCAAAATAATTTTTAATTATCTTTTTTAACATCATTTGCAAAGTTAAATTCTTATTTTGTGAAATATACAATATTGCAGATATGAAGTTAGGTAAAAATAATTTCCATATGTGTAAATATGCAATCAATTATTAAAAATGTTGGTTTTGCAACATAAAATAAACAAACGTAGGCTTTATAAATATATTTATCCCGCATCGCAGCAAAATTTAGCTAAATGGATTTTTTTAATAAACGAAATATTTAATCAATTTGTATTCAGTTTACATATATTTTTATAAATTTTTAGTAATATAATTTTTTTTAAATGTTGTGAAAATGTATTTTATATATTTTTTTTTCATTTACTACTAAATTTTTGTTTATTTATTTAAAAATATTTATTGGCCACAATTTGAGCAAAAAAAACTATCGACCACAGTTTTACTGTACAAAGAGTAATTTACTTTACAACAAAAGTATGCAACATACAAACAAAAGTACTTTAAACAATAGAAGGTAAAAATTTAAATTCATCAAACAAGAAATTGTGTCTAATTAGAAGTGACACTTGAAGATATACTTAATATATTTTTGCTTTTATGTAATGATTTATAACGCACATTATTTAAATTTGCAATAGAGACAAAATGTATTTATTTTTTTCCTTTATTTCAAATAGTAACGAAAGATCAATTTATAAATAAAGTTGTTTAATTTATGGGTCAAAGAGTTCCACTGAAGTTAATCAAAAAATATTTAGTCAAAGTGAAATTAAATTTTGAAAATTTTTATAATTAAATAATATATTTAGATAAACAAATTAATGTAAATAATTAATTTTATTAACAATTATTTTATATTGTATTTATCAAATTATTGCAATTAGTTTTTTCTTTACTTTTATTCTTATTTATATAAAAATAATATGTATGAATATAAAAAATGTCTAATCATTATTATTAAACAAAATTTATACTGACCCATAGGATTAAAATAATATTAAAAAACAATTAAAATATGTAATAAATTTTTACCTTTTAGTTATTGAAATTTCCAACAATTTATTATTATATTTCTTTGGGTAAGATACAAAAGTTTTCAAAGCACAGGATGTAAATGTAAAGTATTGTCTGTAATGCAAGGGCTGCAGTTCACAAAATAACAACGTATTTGTTGTTTGCGTGTTTCAGAGGAATTCGATGTTGTTCGACGTCCTTAACATACAGAATGGTGCGCGTCGCGACGGCCGACTGCCAGCTACTAAACTAAACCTGAACTCTGATCAAATGTTGGAGCGGGATAGACGGATCCGCCCCCAAAGCACGCGCCACTCAACAAGAAACTAAATGCCATGGATGTTGTATCTGTTGATAAACTAATTACTGTTATATCATTTAATGTTTCTTCTTAGCCTTCACCTCTGTATCTATGTCTATACTCAGGGTACTCTTCTGTGCTCCATAACTGCGAATCAGTACCTGAGCCAATTACTAACATCTTATCTCAGCCTCAAGATGTTTCTTACAAGGCTTTTCAATTACATAATCTCATATACAAAAATGCATAATTTATACTGAAATTTTAATAAAAAATAATAATATTTATTCCAACAATAAATTTATTAAAATATAAACTGAATGCAATAATAAAAATAAAATTGAACTACTGTAAAAGTCTATTCACTATAGTTTTAACAAAAAATAATTATTTTAACATTTATTTTTTTGTAAAACTGAAAATAGCTAATAGATTTGTATTCATTAAATATATTTATATTCTATATATTAAACTGTCCTGATCCTTAAATATGGTGTTTATATCTTGTATTTACACTAGGATCTAGCAAACTTAACCCAGAAATTACATAAAAATATTAAACAAGTTTGAGGAACAAAACCCAAGATCCTTAATAAACTGAAATGTCAATATAGTGGAACCTACC